CAAAAAAAAAAAAAAAAAAAGACAACTAGACACATACTGTACCAATGTTAATTTTTGGTTTTGATATTGTACTATACTTATGTGAGCTTTAAGTACTGGGGGAAACTGGATGAAGTGAACATGGGACCTCCCTATGATATCACTGTAAGTTAAACACACACACACACACATCTGAATAGCCCAAGTCTGTTTGTTTTTTTGTTTTAAATCACTTCTCTCTTAGAAAGGCAATAATATGAACCATACGACTTCATCCTCTGGATGTTATTATTAGACTGGGGTAAGAGAGGATAAGAAGTACCAACCTGTAAGTGGGACTGAGCCAGTACCTGTAAGTGGGACTGAGCCAATCAGGTTCACTGTGTTCAGAATTTGAACTGAAAGACAGAAATGCAAAGGGATGAAAAAAATCCTGTGAAAACAGGATCAAACCTGGTCCCTGGCCATTCCACGTCAGTTGATGTCATGTGGCAAGAAGCAGAAACTGTCAGGCTGCCTGTCAGAGAAAACGTCAATTGAGAGAATATTCCCTTTTAGAACTAATATGGGTGGTGAATAGTTTCTGCTTCTTGCAACCATCAACCCTAAAACATATACTGTAGAAAGGGAAGATTAAAAAGGTAACACAATTTCTTCTGCATTGTAATTTGCTATGGCCCTGTCCCTATACTGCTGAAGTTTAAGACAGCTATCGTTTAAACAATCTGATCCTCATCTCTCACTTCATCTGACCCACCCAGGTCAGTGAGACCAGAGTTGAAAGTGAGGGAAAGATCAGGTCTCTATTAAGGATGGAAACAAGAGCTCATGCATACCAGACCCTTCAACCAGTATTACAGTTTCCACCCATAGAGGGTTCCAATGCTTAATGTAGAGACCTGGAATTTAAGGATAAGAAGGAAGGTCCTCTTGGATACAAGTTTACAAATAATGTGGAGGCTGGAATTCGTTCATTCATTCATTCATCTCTAAGTCATTATTTATTTATTAGAGGGCGCAGAGGTATAGGGATTTCAATCTCTCAAGAGGGACCCCACCTACTGACTCAGGCATAGCCAAGAGCCCACCAGGGCAGCAATCATCAGTCTAGGCTTGGTGGGAGGTAAACTGAAAGGGGTCACATGAAGGCCAAGCCACCATCTCCTCACCTCCTGTGCTCATCTCCACTTCTGGTCTCCCATCTCAGAACCCCAGCACAGTGCACAGTAGACAAACAGATGCTGGTATCAGGTTGCCTGGGTTCAGTCCTGCTTCTGCCACTTCCTGCTGTGTGACTTCTCTGTGCCTCAGTTTCCTCACCTTACAAGTGAATTACCTTAAAGGGAATTACAGTACCCACCTCATGGCTCCAGGCAACAGTAAGATGATCACTGGAATTACAATATCTTAGCTTTTATTTTCTGTGCCACTCGATCGGGTGGTTACCAGAATAAACAGAAGTCAACTAAAAACACACTGAAGCAATCCAAATTTGTTTTTATTTTTATTTTTTATTGTTTTGGCTAATGGAAGAACAGAACCGTCACAGCAGCTCAGCTCTATAACCCATCCAGCCCAAGACTGTTCTAGTGGTAGAGCCAAGGACAGACAGGTCTTCCTCCATCAGTGACCTCTTCTCAAAACAAGGACATCTTCCATAGAGCATCAACATGCATCTGTCATCCAAGAAATCAACTAAAGCCCTCTTGATCCTTCTACACTTTCGGCCAGTAGTTACCACCTTCTGAGGTTATGGACTCCAGGTTTGCTACATGATAGGCAGAGGAAAGCTTCCTTTTACACTTCAAGAAGTGTGGCTGGAGAAGTATGGAATTAGGAAACATGACTGTATAGACTTCAACCACTTCCTCCTTTAGCCTGTCCCTCCAGGGTGCAGAAGAATCAATGTTCTTACAACTTCCCTTCTCCTCTTGGCATTCTTTAAGGTGTACAACCCAAGCCTCAGGAAATCATCCGTGGGAAGCATATACTAGGATTTACGCAAATGCAGGATGATATGTTAGTCTCTCCTTTGGCCCCAGCACACACAGGGCCAGCATCTTTCAGGAGCAGCCCCTCCAGTGCTGTCTAGACTGCACTCTTCAGTCATGAATGGGTTGTTCAGGAACCTCTGTCCTGAATGATTCCTAAAACTTCACATAGTCTCACAGTTTCACCGTCCTCACTTCCTACTGGTGTGTTACTATCCTACCTGTAAAGTTATTAAACCCCTGACACTGGATGTCTCTTTCAGATTTCGCATCTTCCTCAAACTTACTAAACGCCTCCGGAATTTCAGAAAGCAGTTACCTGCCAGCTAGTACAGGAACGCAGCCTAATTCTGTGTGAATCACTGCTGAGACCAGCTCTGCAGGAGGTCGGGGAGGAAGGGTATGGTGTATAATCTGCCCACTCCACTCCTATCATATATACTCCCCTGGCCCTGCCTGTACCACCCCAAATGGCCTTGTCTGAGACTCCTGCACACTGTGTACTCCCTCCTGGCTGCCACTCATACTGGAGGTGAGGATCCTGGATTGAATGCAGGTGGCCTGGTTTGGATATACGATGCACTATATGGGTCAGGACCCTGGACCACAAGTCCAGCCACGGCACGCTGTGGGCTCTCCCTGCCTTCAGTACAGATACTGAAGAGTTATATCTGGGTTGCCTTATTCATCGCCTTGGCTGGAAACATTCTAGAGTATGGAAGGGAAAGGAGCCTGCTCTGGAGGATAGGCTGTCAGCCATATCTAAAATACTTTTTGCACACAAGTACTGTGAGGAGGTAAGGAGGGATTCAGAGCTCCATCTTCAGTGATCACTTCTCCAGGGACCTCCACCTCCAGGGCTCAGGCTGGTACCAAGAGCCCTGCACAGCAGAGTCAATATCAATAATTTTCCCACTTCTAAGCAAGAAGACAAAAAGTTGCACAGAGCTGAAACAGAAACACTTGAAGCATGGCCTTCGTCGTCCTGATGCCTGAGCTTCATGGGACGGCCAAGATGTTAACTTAGCAGTTATCCCTGTTCCACTTCCAAGCACTGGAGACAGAAATTTCAGGGGCTGAGGCTTCTCTCCTCTGGCTTTGCAAATTCTTCTCATCTCCAGTTGAATCAACAGCTCCTTAGGTACCAGATGCAAAGCGTCAAGCCCAAATCGTTTTCACCACTGAAATGTCCTTCAAGCCACTTCATCTACTGTTCCCTTCCTCTTCTTCAGCCTTTCTGGACCTGCAGGCTTTCTGGATACAAGAACTGCCCAAAGCATGATGGAAAAAAGAAAGAAGCCAGCTTTCACCTCCTGGCGACTACTGGTCCCAACATCTACAGGTGGCCAAAGGGACTGAAAGATGACAGCCCAGTTCTCTGTGCCCTATCGTGGGTTTGAAATGAGGAGTTCCCAGGTCTCAGCAGGTACTCAGTATCCAGTGTGGCTCCTAAGGAGGGAGCTGCACGGGGAGCACTCTCCCATGGCTGCTTGGTGAAGGCAACAGTGATGTGCAAAACAAGCCCTTCTGGCACTGAACCACTGGCCAGTGGGCCAGGATGATCCCGGTCCTCAGCACAGGGCTCTCAGTCCCAACTCGTGCAGCCCCAGACCACACGGACGTCTCCTCCCAACTTGGCACGGGGCAGTACAGACATCAAAGAGGAGCTCCTTTATTAAAATGTAGTGAGCAGTCCAACACTGCTACTTGGGTCAAGTTACAGCTAGTGCTGGGGAAGAAGTGCCTCCAATCCATACACGGCCAGATCTGCTGAGGACCTGGAGATTCTGGGAACCAGACCTGCAGATGCTAAAGGACAAGGCCCCCCCTGCTGGCGCCATATCACCTTGTCTAATGGCTACATAAGACCCAGAGGCCCAACCCTGAAGACAGTTGGCAGAGAGGCAAAAATGACTGTCTTAAAGAGGTCTTCAGACAAGTGTACAGCTCAGCAGGACAGCACATGTGCCAGGCCTCACCGTGCAGCAGCCGTCACCAACCTCGTAAAGGAGGACATATCGCATGGCATCTTCAGGGCGCTGGAGGCAGGCGCTGTGGCAGGAGAGGTAGGGAACAAGGGTCAGAAGTTTGCCAGGTTAACACATACAGACCCTCTGACCCAATATCCCACTCCTGAGAATTTATTCCGAAGAAATGATGCTCAACAGGGAAAAAGCTGGATGCACAAGGATATGTGTTCTAGCAGCCAAGTGGTGAATAGAACATGGACTCTGGAGGTAGAGACCCACCTCTACTACTTTTTAGGGCAAGTGACTTACATTCTCTGAGGCTCCTTTCCCCCCTCTGTGAGACAGAGAAGACAGCACCTCCTCCCCAGAGTTGTTGTGAGATTAAATGAGACAAACTGCATAAAGCACCTACAGTCTGTGTCCATCCACAAACGTTAGCTCTTATTATTATGTATAAGAACAAGAAAAGAATGCAGGAAAAAGGAAATAGGTGAATCATTAAGGGTGATAGAGCTGTGACTGTACTGACAGTATCATTGTTTCAGGTCTTGTCCATTTTTTAAGTGCTGTGGAAGATGCCATGAATTGTTGAGCCCTGCAGCTTAGGAAGAAGGAAGCAAGATAGAGAGAGTTGGCCTTTCTTCACAAAGGTTTCCCCACCTCTCTAGATTTCACCTGTGAAAAACTCCTAAGAGGTCTCTGAGGATACAATAAAGGGGGGAAGATGGAAGACACAGGAGAGGAGGAATGAAGAAGGGTTTGACAATCAAAACTGGAAAGGATCCGCCTCCCATCTGCTCACCCTGCCCAAAGGTGGGCTGTGCACAGATGAGCACTCCATCCTGACCAGGAGGTCTCCAGAGTGAGCCCGCTCGCCCGGGGCTGCTGCAGGAGCAGCTAGAGGCTGCCTGCCAGCCTGACAAGGGCACTGTGTGGCCAGAGAGGAGAAAAACCTTGTGATCATAGTCAAGGAGTCCATTCCCAGGACCCCGCTGCAGGGCACAACACAGTCTCTGTCTCTCCCCTTCCTCCTGCAGCTTCTCAGCTGTAGGGTGTACATAATGGTCCAGTTCCATAAAGGAAACACACGGTAAATATTCATCACCGCCAGAAACAAAACACATAATTAAGTGCTTGCAAAGACCTTAGAGAAGTCTAGCCAGTGTTTACAACCTTTTTTCATTTTAAATTCATTTTCTCCATAAGTATATAACCCCAAAATTTAAAAAAGGTAATTTTTCAAACTTACAACCATTATCACACATTAAAAAGGTTAACAATTCCTTAATATCAACAATTATCCAGTCAGTGTTCAAATTTCCAGGTGTCTTATAAACATCAAAAATGGGTGGTCTGTTTCTCAACCTTTAAAAATGCATATTCCCAGCACCTGAGGACATTCTGAGACAGCCCCCTACTATCTCACCACCACAACAATCACTGACTTATGCCAACCTCCTCATTAGACTAGATGAGAAAATGCCCAAAGAAGTCAGGTGATTTGCCCAGGATCACACAGCTAGCTGAAGACAGAGGGCCTATGCTTTCCCTGATATCACATTGTCTGGCAGTCTGAACACTGAGGTAACTGTTAGACGCTTTTGAGTCAGCAAGTCTTAATCTAGTAACACCTCCTTTGTCTAAAAGAAAACTACCACCACTAGAACCCTCCTACTAATTTTATACACCCATTTTACTGAGATAAAAACTGAGCTCTCAAGTTCATACCATCAGGTAGAAGTCAGATTTTGGTCTTTATTCCGTACTTCAATTTAGCCATGGAAAAGGATTCTCAATGACCTCTACTCTTCTCAACTCTGACTAGCTCACCCCGGCCAGAGCAAGCTGAAGAGCACCACCTAAAAGAGGAGGAAGAAACCCATGGTGGGGATCTGTGTTCTAGCTGTGCCTCAAATGAGGCACCAGCAAAGGGTAAGACTGCCTGAAAATAGGCCCAAATGGCTTTATAGGTCATTTCCGTCAAACCATCAAGAAACTGTTAATTTCTGTGCTATATAAATATTTTGGAATATGAGGAAAAAAGTGTTTCCCATCTCATTCTATAAGGATAGAATTATCTCTTTTCTACAACTGGACAAGGAAAGGATACACACAGAAAAGCAAGGGTGGAGAGGAAGACGACTATAGGCTAATCTTACTAATAAACATAGAGGTCAAAATCCTAAGTAAAATAAAAGCAAATGAAGACTGGACATGCTTTTTTCCTCTGAAGCACTTAGCTTCTTTCTTTTTTTGTTTTGTTCTCCTTTGATGGAATTTTGTTTCGTATACATGCACAATAAATTTAGGTATATGCAAAACAAACAGAACAGGACATACTGAACAAGTACTGAATCTGGAATTTAGACAGTTCGATATTAGGAAATCTTTGAAAGTAATTCATCATTTTAACTGATTAAAAGGAAATGTTTATACTCATTCAGCTCATTTGACTCCAAAAGGGCAATGAACAAAATTTAAAACCCATTATCAAGAGAAAGGAAGAGAATAAAGATTATCTTAGCAAACTAGAAACATAACTGATATACTTCCTTAACTTGAGAACCTGCATTATCAAACAATAATAAGTTTGTGTAGAAACAGACAGGTCAAGGGTACAGAACAGGCCCTGTGTGTACAGTAATCTAGAATGTGAGAGCAGCTGATTTCACATGAATAGAGGAAGGATGAATGAACTCATCAATAAAGTTAGATCCTTACCTCACTTAGCATAAAAAAATAAATTCAAGGTGGACTGAACAACTAAAGGTAAGCAGATGAACAAAAGCAATATAAGAAAACACAAAAACAGAGTTTCAGTATGGGATGATGGGAAAGTTCTGGAGGTGCATGGTGGTGATGGTTGCACAACAATGTGAATACATTTAATGCCACTGAACTGTAAGCCTAGAAAAGGGTAAAATGGTAAATTGTATGTAAGTAAATTTTACCACAGTTTTAAAAATAAAATTTTTAAAAAACACAGTAAGACTATATTCTTGCAATGGGAAGAGCCTTCTTAAGACCCCAAACTTTGGAGCCATAAAGGGAAGAATCTGAAGATTTTACTACATAAAAATTTTTAATGCCTGTTTAATAAAAGATCCAGAAACAAAACTTAAGCACTTAAGCACTTAATACTTCAACAGAGAGGAAAAAAAAAATAAGCAATTAACTGGAATAAAATATATGCAATTTGTATAATAAAGGATTAACACCTGCATATATAAAACTGCTATTAATTAAACAGATACAGGATATGACAAGCAATTCATAAAAGAAGACACACAACCTCATAAGTAATCAAGAAAATACACGTTAAAACAACTTCATTTTTCACCTATCAAATTAATAAAATTAAAAATACTGATTTCCACAACTGACAAAGGCATAGGAAAACAGATACTCTCATCACTGTGGCTTGAATTACAAATGAGCAAACCTTTTGAAGGGCAATTTGTCAGCAGCTAGTCAGATGTTAGATGCACAGACCCTCCACTAACTTACTGGTCTCTAACCTGTAGAAATCTCCCAGAGGTACACAAAAATCATGAACAAGGGTATTCACTGTACCATTATTTACAATATCAAATACCAAAATATAACCCAACCCTCTAACGGGAGCTGATGAAATACGTTTTTGTACATCCACCCAGTGAAATACTAGGCAGCTACTGACAAGCAATAGATAGGTCTCTATGTAATGAACAGGGAAACATGTCACAACATGTTTTGTAAAAAAAAAGGCTAGTTACCAAACAGCCATACTCTGTGATCCAATTTTTGTCAAAAAAAATAAAATAAAATAAAGTACTTTGTATAGAAAGAAGAACCTAGAAGAATGCATATCAAGCTACCAACAAGGGGATATCATCTCTGGGAGTGGTATTATGGGAAATTTTCATTTTCTAAATTGTATTATTTCTGTAATGTTTGCGTTATTTAAAATAAGTGATTGCTTTTGTAATTTAAAAAATAGGGATAAAGTAAATAAAAACAATTCCGCCTCTCTGCACAAAGGCAGGGAAGGGTAGCTATGATCCCCATGATTGCCAGGGAACAACCTCTGTGCAGTATCTTCCCCTACAGAGGAAGAGGCAGAAGAGCTCCTGAAACAGTTGGGAAGGGACAGGTGCCCAGCTCCCGGGCAGGGCTGGTGCGGTGGGAATGAGGGGACAGGGCCAGGCCCTCAGTCAGGGCTGCCTGCACAGCACCGGGCCCCGTGCAGGAGGCCTCAGCTGAAAAGTGGACACTGAAGGAAAGGACATGCACTACTGGACTCAAACTATTTTTTTCTTTAACCTCTGATCTTTGGGTGGCTCTCAGATCACCATTTAAGATTAGAAACAGTTTACTTGAAAAGGTCATAATGGAAATTAGATCAGCTAAGAGAAATCAATGGTGACTTACTTCCCGGGTAAGAGCTCTAAAAACCTAACTGTGCCCTGAAAAGACAGCAATGAACGCAAAGACCTGGAATGGCACAATGCTGGAAAGTTGTTGGTCAAAGAAGGAGTATTATTAGCCAATTAGCCTCTACCCAACCTCTGAATGATGAAACCAAGAATGCGAGGAGAAAACGATGGAGAGGGGAAGAAAACAGAAACATTAAATAGGCACTGAACATATTTACATATTTAATCCTCACAACAATCCAGGGAGCATTACAGAAAAGGAGACTCACAGAGGTCCATGACTTGCTCAGTCACAAAGCTATAAACTGTAACCAACAAGGAGGACCTACTGTATAGCACAGGGAACTACACACAATATTTTATAACAACCTACGAAGCAAAAGAATCCAAAAAAGAATATATATAACTGAATAACTGTGTTGTACACCTGAAACTAACACAACATTGTAAATCAACTATACTTCAATTAAAAAAAACAGGGCTTCCCTGGTGGCGCAGTGGTTGAGAGTCCGCCTGCCGATGCAGGGGACACAGGTTCGCGGCCCGGTCCGGGAAGATCCCACATGCCGCAGAGCGGCTGGGCCCGTGAGCCACGGCCGCTGAGCCTGCGCGTCTGGAGCCTGTGCTCCACAACGGGAGAGGCCACAGCAGTGAGAGGCCCGCGTACCGCAAAAAACAACAAACAAACAAACAAACAAAACAACCCAACAACAACAAAGCTACAAACTCTGAATGTGGATGTGCATCTGGTCTGCCTACAAGTCCAGCTCCTCCAATCGGCCAGTAGGCCCCACACTTCCCAATATTGGAGGCTGTGTCCTCGGTCTTCCCAGGCAGACTCACCTGTGAGCTGGAGGGCAGCGCCTGGGAGGTGGGCTCTTCTGATGGGGCTGCTCCTGAGCCCATGGGGCTCAGTGTGGTGATTCGGCTGGGCTGGCCACGTAGTGTCAGAGTGATGGTGGTGGGGACCTTCAAGCCTGAGAGAGAGAGACAGAGAGGAGTAGGCTTTTTTGTCACAGCCTCCACTTCCCTTTCCTGGAGTTTCCTCCCCATGTAACATACCCCCATCAGCCTCCCGCCTTGGCTTCCTCCTCCCCAGCTGGGTCATCTACGCCCTATCAGTCAGTCTGAAAGGCAACAGGAATAGCCTGTGTTCTCTCAACCTCTCTGGGGGATGGACCCACACAGCTGAATCCCTGAGGGTCAAGGCCAGGACCCTGTGAGGCTGGGTTCAACATCATACCTTGACCATGAGAGATAGGAAGGTCTTGGGGGAAGATCCCATATCTGGGAGTCCCCACGGTTCTCATGAGAGACTCACCTGAGGCTTGGTTAGAGATCTGAGCCAGGCCAGGGAGGCTGCTTGCCAACTTGGCGAGGCCCCCATTGGTCAGCAGCTGGTGGATGGCTGTGGGCTTCCCACCAGGAGTGGCACCCAAGGAGGAGAGAGTGGTGGCCACAGGAATGGTACGGACAATGGTGCTGGTGCCCGTGGTGATGGCACCCAGGCTCTGCATGGGGGTGGGCAACTTCACACTGGTGGCCTGTGGGACACACAAGCCCAGGTGATCAGAAGCTGTTGCCAACAGCAACGGTCGAGTGTGGAGGGCACATACTGTTAATGGCTACCATGTATTCAGTGCCTACCACATGCAAGGTACTCTGCCAGGTATTTTCCATATATTATCTTCTTTAATCCTCAAAACAGCTCTGTGAGGGAGGTACTATCATTATCCTCATTTTACAAACAAGAAAACAAAGATACAGAGATCAAGAAACTTGCCCAAGGTCACTTAGTAAGTGGTGGAGCCTTAACCTTTGGTAGTTCCCAGCTGTGAAGCCAGAAGGCTATTTGTCCTTGACCCAGCGTCCCTGCCAAAACCAACTAAGCTGAGGAGGCCTCCTCCCACACCTGCCCAGCCCAGTGGAAGGCAGATGTGCACCTGCGGGGCTGGCCCAGGAGAGGGGTTTGCTGGGAGGCCAGAGGTCTTGCTGCTGATATCCTGCAAGCTGAAGCTGAGGCCTTGGAGGAGGCTGCTGGCTGATGCGGCCCCTAGGAGAGGAAACAGCAGACATCAGCACAGGCTCAGTCACTTTTCCACGAGCAGCTGTGCCTGTCCACCCTCAATAATCAACTAAAACACCAACGCTCTTTCCTCGGACATTCCCAGTGCTCTCAGAAAGGTGCCAGAAGGGCTCCCCAAACACGCACACTGGACGCCCACATGAGGAAAGGTACCGTTCCTGACACACTGCCTTGGATTCATTCTGCACACCCCAACCTGCTCCAAACCACCTGTCCTAAATTTTGGACAGTTTTAGGAAAACCAAGGAGAACATGAATCCCACTTTTCAGAAATCTATCCCACTTTCCCAGGGAAGAGGAAGGACTTTTTAAGCCAAAAGAATCCCGAACACCTGACTTACACTTCACTTTACACACAGTCCAGTAGCCTCAAAGCAAAGAGGAAGGTCCTCTTGAAGGATCAGGGCACCTGCAGTGCCTTGGCCCTGCTGGGCTCAGGCAACTAGCCTTTCAGTGTAGGGTGAGGGCGGAGAAAGTGAGGAGATAAGCATAGGCAGAAAAATGTCTCATTTTGCTAAATTTCCAGTTTTATTCAACCAGATGTGTTTAAAAACAAGAAAATGAAAGCAGTACATACATTTCCCACCAGCTATTTCTCCTTGTAGTACAGGAGGCATTACCTGCAGATTGGGACATTTACTCACTGCAGATATTAAGGCCCCAAACTCTCCTACCTCAAAGTTAATGCCAGCTCCATGCCAAGCCTCTACAACAAGCCTGAGACCCAGAGCATCCTCCTCCAGATCTAGCTCCACAAGGCTTTCCCAGGACCACCCTCCAGCAGCAGCCCACAAAGACTTCGCTGGGAGGCAGGGAACGTTGAGCTACCAGATACCTGGGAGGGAGCTGCCAGGCGAGGTGGCCACCAGGCGACTCTGGAGTGTGTGCAAGGCACTGGGAGCAGTGCTGCTAGAGACCACTGAGGATGCTGGGCTGGCTGAGACTCCCCCTTCAGCAGCACTTGACCTGGAGACAAAAGTAAGAGCTCCATTAGCTAAAGGTCCCTGCCAACACAGGGAAAGTCCAGAATGGGGCCCAGCAAGGCTTTCAGCAATGGACACAAGGCTAGAACTTTGGTTTCTTCATCCCACTTTCTGAATCGAGCCTCTAGTCTTTCTAAAAAAGTCAGGCCTCAAGGAGAGACTTCAGGCCTCGAAGCAAGAGCTCCAGGACTCTTTGTAAATTTTAAGTAAGCACTCAGTGGACCAGCGAAAAGGTGAAGAGAAAGAAGGGAACAGACAGACCGGGAGACAGACTCACTTGGTTGTGGTGAGAAGCCCTGTGAGCTCCTTGGTCCCTGCGGAAGCTTGCCCCAGTGTCATGGTGATGGGCTTCCCTCCTGCGGCTGCAAAACAGAAAACCCCAAGGCCACTGGTCAGTCCTGTTTGGTCCTGACCTTTCAGGGTTCCAGAGGCAAGGCTAAATCCAAGATATTATGGAAAAGACTGGAAGACGAAAAATGAAGGATAACTACATTAGAATAGGAAGAGTTGGGATTATTTTTTCCTTCTGCTTTCTAAACCTTCTGGAATATTTTATTATCTTTAACTGAAACCAATGAAGAACAAAATGTATGATGCTTTGAAGGACCCCACCGCTTCCTCGGATCCTCGCTCGGCCTCCCTGACCCTAGTTCAGATGAGCTTGCTGCCCTCTTTCCCCCACGTGCAACCTCTGCTGTCTCCTCCGGGCGCCTGTTGTGCTGAAGGCGAGGCTGAGCCGCCCAGCAAGTAGCCACCAAGAGGGCAATACTGTGTGCCTGGGACAGTTCTGTCAGTGTTTATTTAAAGAGGCCAAGAGAAACTCACCTTCTGGAGCTCCTCCTTGGGAAGGAGTACAAGGCCCTCCAGCTGTGTCCCCTTGGGAGATAAGGGACACCTTGATCTTCGGTCGCTTGGAGGTCTTACTGCCAGGAAGAGGACTGGAGGGATGGTGCCGCTTCAGCTGGACCCTGAGATCCTCTTTCTCGGCTTCCTCCGTTTGTTCTGATGAAACAGGAACTAAGAAATGGAGCTGCGGTGAAGTTCTCCACAATCCAAAAAAGCCCGACAGATACTGAGAGCCAGTACCAGCACTGGCATGGCTGTGTGGGAACACCAGGAAGAACCATCCCAACACGTGCAAGGAGAATGCCAATGCTTCAGTCCTGCCTCACTTGGGCCCACCTATGGTGCAACTCCACCTTGGCCCTCTCAGAAGATGGCTCCATCCCCTTCCCTTACCCTGCTCTGGAGTTGGAAGGAAGGGGCTCTGAGTTGGCGGAAACAAAAAGAAAGGAGAAGACATCCTGACCCTGCCTGGCAAAGGCCAATCAGACAATAGAGGACTCACCACAGTGGACCTCGGCAGGGCTTCCCAGACTCAAAGAATGTGGCAATTCTCATGCCCTCCCCACATCACACAGCTGGAGGGCAGCAAACAGTTTCTGGAGAAGCAATAGAGGAGCAGGCTATCCAGTCCTCCTTACAAGGGAGGTTTCCTCAAAGCTCTGAGTCCCACCCTGCCCTCAGAGCCCAAGGTTGAGGGTTTGCTTGCCAAATGGGGACAATGGGAAGGATCATCACCAGGACTTAAGGCTGGCTTTCAGTAACTCCTAGGCAGGTTATCTTAGCGGAGACAACTTTACAGCTCCTGCCCAGAGGTAAGAGGGCAACAGTGGCCCATGTCACAAGCTAGTCCCCAGGTCATTTGTACTAGTACAGAGAAAGGGCACCTGTTCACACATGGGCTTCCCCCTCCACTGCATCAAACAGACTCATCCTGCACATGGCCAAGCCTCCCAGACTCTTAAGTTATCCTTCGGGTTTCCTCACGGATCCCCTCCTCTCTACACCTAGAAGCCCGCCCCAGTCCTTCTTAGCGCAGGCAATCAGGGGCAGAAAGGCAGGAGTCACACGAGAAATGGGAGGCGGGGGGGCTGCCACGGGGCCACAGGGAGTTACTCCAGACCACAGTCAGGCCACAACCAGCTGAAAGGAAGGACTGCATCGACTAAAATCAGAACAGGAAGGAGGGAAAAAGGGAAAGGAGTTACAGATTTATGCTTGATAAGTGCTTGCAGAGGCCAGGATGGAAGCAGGAAACCAGAGGCAGGGAGAAAAACACAGGGAAATTCAGGCTCACAGGCACTGGCCTACAGGCACACACAGGAGAAGCAGAGCCAAGAGCCACAATAAGAGATAAAAGGAGAAAAACACCAAGAGAGGCAAACAGCAAGAATGGGGAAAAAGCAAAGACTATGGAGTAATAAGCAAAAGGATCAGCAAAGAAAAAAAACCAGAAGATAGAAAAACGCAGAGAGCAAAGAACAGGGGGAAACCAAACAGAGACAAATGAGAGGCAGGGACGGGAAAGAAATAAGAGGGAGAAGGGGACAGAAGCAGAGAGCAGAGAGTGAGAAGGTGAGGAAAGAGCAGTACTCACCAAAGAGACAGGAGGAGGCGCCGGGAGGAAGAGCTTTCCTCACCAGCATGTTTTGTGTCAGAAAAGCAGCAAACTGCGCTGGAATGAATCAGAAAGAATTACAGAATCACAGCCAGCCAGAGAAAGGAGAAAAAGAGAAGTCGTAAGAGAAAGGTATGAAAATGTTCTGGAAAATGGTCAACAGGGCTTTTTCTGGAATTACTGCATGGGTTTGAAACCTGACTCTGCCATTTGGCAGCACCATGGAATCATCCATAAACAGAAGGTAATAAAGGTACCTGCCTCATGGGGCCACTGCCCACATTCCAGGAGCAACAGCAAGGCAAGTGCCAGGAAGAGGGCAAGGCACGCAGTGAGGGCCCATAACCATGAGCTGTTCTCACTGCCCCACCCACGAGCTCTGCCGAAACCAGGCTGCTGTGCTGCGGCTCTCCTCCGTGATGTTCTGGGTCCCATTTCGAACCCGGCGCACCAGTCAGCCTTCCAGAACTCCTTACAGTCTCCACTAATTATTGGCAAACTGCTGGCTCTCTCTTCATCAAAAGCCCAAGAAGACAACACCCACTTGGAACTTGGCTCTGGCCACCACTGAAGAGGATGCAGGTCACGCGTGGACCCTAGGGGCCTGGCTTCCTTTTCGTCTTCACCGACCCACTCACACTTCTGCTCCCTGTTAGCACCACCATACAGGCAACCTCATAAGACGCCTGGGTCTAAGTCCTGATCCTTTGGCTCCACTAAAAGAAACACAGGGGAAGAGAGCAGAGGAGCCTCCTGTCTCCTGTATGTCTCTCTACTTGACAGCCAGCTCTGGCTGCTGCCTCTTCCCAGGCACCTGAGACCCTCAGATGATACACGCTCCTGCATACATCACCAAACACCAATGCCCAAGAGACCTCGCCTCAGGGCTGCCCAACTGGATCAAAGTGGGCCAGGGGTAGAGCCACTGCTGCTCCCTTCCCCACACACTGAACACGCCTTTTCCACAGCTTCTTACATTGTGCTGACTGTTCTCCAAACTCTAATTTCAACCAAACAAATGTTTCCCAGCCTAACTGAAAACCTATCTGCAGAGACTCCTGAAAAACTTCACTGGAAGTCCCAGTGTGGGAATCTCAACTCTTCAAGGGCAAAACAAAGGGCGGGCACGACACCAGTGCAGTTGCCCTAGAATCTGATGAGCACGGCCAATCCCCTTGTCTGCGGGACCCGAAGAGCTCCCTGACTGCAGGAGAGGCTGGGCAGGGCCCGGAGTTGGTAAAAAATTTGAGGCCAACATACGTGTCGTCAGCTCATAAAGCCTAACTTCCCCAAACACCAAGCCAAAGCTATAATTAGTGGAACTATACAGTCACACTAATATCACCTTTTGTGATATTTTACCCTTGAAAACAGCCCTCAGTATTTATTTCAACCTAATTTTGCCTGGACAGAAATGTCAGGAAAAAGCTGCAGATGCCAATACTTTCCAACTGCCACATGGCGTCAACTGCAGAAGACAGAACCCAAGAGAGGCCACCGGGCCAGGCAGCTATACCTTGAGCTTGTTTGTGGGTCAGCACAGCCTCTGTCCGCTGCACGTGTCTCTTCAGCAGCTGAGTGCTTCCGATCTGACTGGACTTCTGGGCAGAGGCCACTGTGGTCACCTTGGTCTTGGGACTGGAGGTAGGGCTGCTGGACACACTGGAGAGATCCTGAGTAGATTAAGAAGACAAGGGCCAAGCCAATGTCGTCCAGATTGACTGTCAATCGTCAAGTCCCCCTGGAATTCCCTGGTCAGGAATTCCCCTCGTAGGAACTCACAGGCCCACCAAGGCCAACAGGCATCCCCAGGAAGCGAAGGAACCAACTCTTCAGTCCCCATTCCCCAGCAAAAGCACTCCCTCCCTTTCCGCATTACCTCTGAGCCTGAGGGTGAGGCAGGTAGCTTGGCAGCTGGTGACGCAGGTCGACTTCCCCGCTCAGAGACCTCGAAGGCCAGGTCTCTGCGGGCCACGTCCCGGGGCTTCTTCTTCTTCTCAGCATCCTGATCCCGCGGCTCAGAGCCCATGTGGCCCTCCGCGCGAGTGAGCACTCCAGTCAGGAAGTCCACAATCTCATCCTAGTGTAAAGAGGGGCCAAGGCCTCTGAGTCCTTCTCTGGAGAACAGGAACCACCCCGACAGTCCCGACTAAAATCGATTCACCTCAGCTTGATGTCAGTGTGCCGGTCCCTCCTACCACACAAAGCCTGGCACGAACCCGAGCCTCAGCCAAGGACCAGCAGAAGCCTGCGCCTTGCACCCGTGAGGCTGTACTCTGGGGTGGTCACGCTTTACCACTCCTCCAGTGAACTCTTCCTCCCCTAATGCTCTGCTCATGTCTTAGATCGTTACTCTCCTTTCCCCCTCTCTCTTTCCCCCTTTCCTTTGCTTATGATTTAGGCCCAACAGAGGCCACAGTGGATACCCATCCTCCTTAGTCAACAGGCTGCTGCCAACAAGACTGAACCTAAAAGGTTACAGAAAGGCAAGCCTAGCTGAGAAAACCATATAAAGCTACTGTGTACCTGAATACATCTGTCCACCATGCTCTGAGTCAACCCTTCCGATTTCTTCTTTGCTTTGCTTATTCTAAGAGACAAAAAAGAGGAAATGTTTACTTTCCAAACATTCCACAGCACCATTTCTCTTCTGTGTTGGTTATTCTCTAGACCCAAGAAGGAAGACTACGTTAGCCCTCAGGCAGGTCTGCAGCCTCTCTGAACCTCAGTTTCCACATCTGCAAAATGGGGAACCATAACACCTCACTCATGGAGTTAATGGGGATGACACAAAACAACATTTGTAAAGAACCAAAGAATACATGGAAAGTACCCGGGATGGTATACTTCAGAAGTCCTATACCTATGGCTTCACAGGTATACTCTATCTGATTGCTGAGACCTCATCTCGAGGCACCCCAACACAGACCCAAACCCTGAGATTACTGGGTGCTATTGAAAAGATTACTGGGTGCTATTGAAATGAGATTAGCAGGAAGGAAGGCAAGGTGGCCACGGGTTAGTTCTAAAGGGATAACAGAGACTGACCACAGCTGGCTGCATTCTCCTCTTTGAAAGCCAGCCTTAAACACCCTGGCTTCTGACTGGGGGTCTCAGCAGAGAGAGAAACAGGGCACCAAGTGACAGGATGAAGAACAACATTCTGAGCCTCCAAATTATGAGACCCCGATTTACTGGTTGTAGGCCTCTGACCTTGTGTAACAATGCTCATTTTATGGATGAGCACAGAGTCCCAGAAGTTAAGTATTTTATCCAAGCTTCTCAGCAAGGGAGCCAAGACTAAATTGAGGTCTCCCAGTTCTCAGTCCAATGCTCTTGGCACCATGCAAATATGTCTCATAAGCAGCCTCACAACGTAACTCTCACTAAGGGTTATTTCCATTTCTCCCGCTCCCTCACCATGACTCAACACACACAGTCTATTCTCCTATAGATAAGAATGTCTGAATTAGCAAGAAAGATAATGTATTTACAAGCAAACACTGCCTTGAGCATCAAAGGGTTAGATTCTAGGTCCACAAGAAGCTGTCAAATGACAAAGGCCAGGAGGACTTCTCCAAAGCATCTCTGGGTAAGAAACTGACAAGAGAGGTGGGAATAGGTACTCGCTTTAAGCTCTCCAGTTAAAGCACACAAATGAAGTTAGTATCTAAGACTGAGCATATAAAAAAGGAGACCAGTAAAGGATACAACCTCTTTTTCAGTACATTTCATAAAAACATAACTAAAGGCCCTACAGGCAGCCAGCCTTGTAAGAGAAGAATGGCCATCTCAATGACTAAAGATGCCCTCCTGAAATCCTCTCCAGAGCTTCCCTGGTGGCACAGTGGTTAAGAATCCACCTGCCAATGCAGGGGACATGGGTTTGAGCCCTGGTCCAGGAAGATTTCACATGCTGCGGAGCAACTAAGCCCGTGCGCCACAACTACTGAGCCTGCGTTCTAGAACCCGCAAGCCACAACTACTGAGCCTGAGTGCCTACAGCCCGTGCTCTGCAACAAGAGAAGCCACCAGAATGAGAAGCCTGTGCACCTCAACGAAGAGTAGCCCCTGCTCGCCACAACTAGAGAAAAACTGCGTACAGCAACGAAGACCCAACGCAACCAAAAATAAAATAAATTAAAAAATAAACAAATCTAAAATCCTCTCCAAACTTTGGCTGTTTATACTCCAAAATATATAAAAGGATGCTTAACACAAATAAAATCTATGTTCACATTCATCCTCAGTAAGGAACAAAACGTGAAGAAATGCCTACCCCAGTGAAAGCACAATGGCCAAGACTATAACTACAACATCTTAAAAGTATTTTCTCCCCACAAGATGACTACTAACTACAAAGAGAAAAATAGTAACTTTACAATAGAGAAACCTGGCAGATGCTTCCTTGATCAAAGTTAACATCACCAGTAATAAGACACATCAACGCCATGTATCCCGAGGGGTGCACTGAGGGCACATCAGCTCCATAGCATCCCTGCCAAAAATGTGCACCCTCAACCTAATCATAAGATAATGTCAAAAACCGAATTGAGGGACTGTCTACAAAACAGAAAGTCTTCAAAAGTGTCGAGGTCATGAAAGACAAAGACAGACTAAGGAACAGTACCAAATTAAAGGAGACTGAGGAGACAGGCAACCAACAGCAATGTGTGATCTGGATTTGAGCCTGGACCAGAAATGAACATTAGTGAGATAACTGATGAAATGTGAGTCTGTAGATTAGATAACAGTATCATATCCATGTTAATTTCCTGACTTCAATAATTACACTTTGGTTATATGTTAACTTTTGGGAAATCTGGGTGAACAGTATAGGGAATTTCTTGGTTCTCATTTTGCAACTTTTTAGAAATCTGAATTAGTTTAAAAAACTTTTTGTAAAGTTTTTTAATGCCCTCTTTTCACTGAACCAGGTTAGCTATAATTATACATCACCACCTGATAAGCATCTCTCCAACATGGCACTCTTGCAGCTCTGGGGGAACCTACCCACCTGAGATTATCATCAGCTCCCCCAACCACCACCAAGCTGTTCTCAGCCCGAATCTTCTCCCGGAAGTCCTCCATGGCTTCAGGGTGACACTGTAGGGAATTCTGACCAATGACAAAGAGGACTGGAGTCTTCATATCCAAGAGGGGATCATCCACATCCTAAAACAGATCCAGGTTTACAGTCAGCCAGTGCATATTCACTGAGTACTGCCCTAGCAAGTATGCTCAAGAGAGTCAGCTGGGCAACTGCAGTCACTGAACAGCAGCTTGGGCGAGGCACGCACTCCCATACTCTCACCTGCCGGTGACCCAGAAATCAGCCACACCCTGCGCTTACCCCTCTGGGGCCATCCACAGTAAGCAGAGGAAACCCCAGGCAGACAACTGCAGTGACGTATTCCATCACCGACACCTAGAAATAATGGCACGGTTTGTCTCAAGGTCAAATGACTTCACTGCAGCTACATTCTACCCAGAATCCTGGGGTGGTCAACCCACCAGCCAGTCCCACCTCCTCCCCTGCTGTCATGACATAACCCCTAGGTGTACATAACTAGGTTAGGACATAACCCCTAGGTGCACCAGCCATAGTTGCAGCAGTAAGAGCAAAGAACACAAGATGTGCTCTTCTACCAGAAGCCACCGCCTAGAGAATTGGGGCCCTCAGTGGACCCCAGAAGAGGGCTGAACCACAGGATGGGAAGTTTAATACTTCTTCCATCCTGGCAGTTTGTGAGGCTAGAGTCCTCCCTTTTCCCTCCACTAATAACAAATGCAATCAGGAGAACACAAATGTTGCTCTTTTCCCTTAAGTGAAGAAAATCTCTCCCTTTTGAACTTGATAGCTCCCAGACACCCCAAACTTCTTAGAGCAGTCGCTGACAAGGTACTGCCATCCTTGGGACCAGGGAGCACCGGGAGATAGCCTTCCTCCTCTCACGCCCCTAGATGTCACTTACACTACGTGAAGCAGCACAGACTTTGCTTACTTGATCCACTCGAGAACTGGGGATTTGGACAGGTCGGAGGCATTTATACAAACTAATATACATGCAAGTGTATGTAAAATAATAAAGAAAAGGTTCTCTGATGCCTTGGAAAGGGAAAGAACAGGAACACAACATCAAATTACAGAGCTATTAAAATTTTTGCTGGCTACAATTATTGTTTTGTTTTGTTTAGGTGAGAGAATAGTACTTATGTCTAGGGGGAGAAAGAAAAAATTTTTTTCAGAGATACATGCTGAAATATATATATATATAAACACAACGATATGATATTTGAGATTTTCTTCAAAATAACTGGAGGAGACTGAAAGTAGGCAGAGGTAAGATGAAAAAAGCTTGGCCATGAGCTCATCACTGGCAAAGCTGGGTGAGGGGCCCAAGGGGTTTCTCATACTAGTCTATCCTCCCTTTCAATTTCTGCTTAAAATTTTCCACAATAAAGTTAAAAAGTAAAGTTTGTAGGCAAAGCATCTAGCACAGTGCTCTGGAACACTACAAAGCACTCAACAGTCACTATCATCAAGCTGGGCAGCAGCAGTAGTAGCAGCAGCAGTCTATCTCAGGACAACCTCCAAATAAGATGGGGATTACTTACATGACAGGCCACCAAGGCTCCTGTATTCCAGCCAATCAAGATAATGGGTTTGTGTGGGAAATGGTTGTGAATCTTTGTGGGAAGAGAAAGAAGACAGTAAGACTGCAGGCCACAGATTGGTGCAGAATGTTGGGTGTGCCACAGTGAACTGAAATAGGGACGTTCTCACCTCCAGCACTTTGCTTCGCACTGCCCCAATCATGTGCTCCAGACACTGCAGAACTCCTACTCCACTACCATTGTTCAGCAGATGCGTGGCAACAGGGATGACCTAAAGAAAAGAGTGGCAGCCATGAGAGCAGAGCTAAGTTTCAAATCTCCTCTCAAGTCTGCTTAACCTACCTAAATCCCTTCAACCTCAGATAAGCACCATTGGCATTCTAGACAAAAAGAGACTTGGGGGACGCTCCACATTTAAGTTCACCCGTTTTGACCCCCTCTTCCTTTCTGTCTGCTAGATTCTCCCCAGGAGGAGTTTCTCCTGCCCAGTACATACCTTGCCTAAGCAGGACAGCTGAGACTGCCAGAAGCGGTGGCGGCGCGAGGTGGGGAACACAGAGCTGGAGGGCCCGGAGGAGGCAATGAGAATGAGAGGGGAGCCGGGGAGTTTGCTCTAAGGAGAAAGACCCCACCAGAGAGCCAATGAGTGAGAGGTGCTCCTCCATGGAACCCCAATACCTTTCTTATCCCAACCAATGCTAATTTGCTCAGGAAACTACGTTAACCACTACACCCAGCCAGTTATTAATGAAAGCAGTTAAACAAGCCATTATCCTCTTGCCAAAGTTCTAAGACTGAATTCTAAACACAATTTCATGGGCCACAGTTAAGTCCAACTTACTGGTTTGTTATGAGAGAGCACTCCCACTGCGGGGTCCCAGGGCCTCTTCAGTAGCAGGGACAAGGCCTCAGCTCCAGCAGCCCCGGTCTTCGTGTTGGATGACACGAGCATCCGGTCAATCAAGGTAGGGATCTAGAAGCAAGGGAGAGCAAAGATGCTTCCAGCATGAAGCAGGAGACCCCACCACCAGGAGCAGGTGGGAGGACACAGCCCCACTATGAGCCAAGGAAAGATTTCAACTACACCTCTCAAACTTTCCTCACGAGAAAAAGTACAAATAAGTGCATGGCTGAAAAATATGCCTCCCATCATATTAAAGATAAGTGGATACAGTCCTCTGGAAACCAATCTGGTTGACACGCATCAAGAGACTTAAACTTATCTCTTTCTTAACAACCTGTATCAGAAATACACACACACACACACACACACACACACACGCGGGGGCTGGGGGGTAAGCAAAAGACAAATTCACTCTCAATCATAGTCAAAAAGTGGACACAACATAAAGGCATATACAAGGAAGTGGTTAAGCAAATTATCTACATAATTAGATATTATGGATTAATTTTTAATATTTAAAACAATTTGTAATAACATAGGGAAATAATTTGCTAAAACGTTAAAGGTAAAACAGAAAATATAGAAATTATCTCTACTCAAAAAAAATACTACAAGAAAATATGCCAAAAGGTTAATAATGAACTTTATGGAGTTATGAATTTTTTTCCTTTTCAGACATCTGTATTTTCTAAATTTCCTCAGTGAACACCAGTTGATTTTATAAATTAAAAACAAAACTCTGCATTTACTTCTAGAATACTGCCTTCAAACTGTGGTGTGTTAAAAAAATGTTATTGTGCCCCAAATAATATATCCTACTATACTGTGTATACAGTTGACCCTTGAACAACACAGGGTTGGGTGCCAACCCCCCATTCAGTCGAAAAGCTGTGTATAACTTTACAGTTGGCCCTACCAATCAGTGGTTCCACATTACACCATTACGATTTACCAAAAATGTGACCTCACAGATGTGTAAATACAGGTTTCAGACATGCTGATGCTTACACTGAGAAGAATTATCTGTGTGAATCCCATACTACCCACAAGAGGTCAAAATGACCTAGGGGAAAGGGAAGATTTTTAACTGCTAGAGGTAGTTTTCAGAAAAATAAACTTTTTGAGAAACTGGAGAATAAAAACTACTACCGTGATGCAGGCTGTAAAAGTTCAGTCCATAGCTAACATCGTACCCAACAGTGAAAACCTGAAAGCTTTTCCTCTAAGATCAGGAACAAGACAAGGATGCCCACTCACACCACTTTTATTCAGCATAGTATTGGAAGTCCAAGCTAGAACGATTAGGCAAGAAAAAGAAAGGAAAGGCATCCTTTCCGTTAGATTTAGAAAGAAGTAAAACTGTCACTATTTGTAGATGACATCATATTATATAGAGCAAACCCTAGACTCAACCAAAAACAACCATTAGAATAAACGAATTCAGTGAAGTTGCAGGATACAAAATCAATATACAAAAACCTGCTGCATTTCTATACACTAATAGAGAAATTAAGAAAACTTTCTCGTTTACAACAGCATCAAAAAGAATAAAATACCTAGGATTAAATTTAACCAAGGAGGTGAAAGACCTGTACACTGAAATCTATAAGACATTAATGAAAGAAACTAAGACACAAATAAATGGAAAGATATTCTGTGCTCACAGACTGGAAAAAGTAATACTGTTAAAATGTCCATACCACCCAAAGCAATCTACTGTACAAATTCAATGCAATCCCTATCAAAATTCCAGTGGCATTTTTCACAGAAATAGAACAAACAATCCTAAAATTTGTATGGAACCACAAAAGACCCTGAATAGCCAAAGCAATCTTGAGAACAAAGAACGAGGCTGGAGGCATCATGCTTCTTGATTTCAAACTATATTACAAAGTTATAGTAATCAAAACAGCATGGCACTGGCATAAAAACAGAATCACAGATGAATGGAACAGAATAGAGAGCCTAGAAATAAACCCATGCATATATGGTCAGTTAATTTACAACAAAGGAGCCAAGAACTTACAGTGGGGAAAGGACAGTCTCTTCAATACATGGTGCTGGGAAAACTGGACAGCTACATGCAAAAGAATGAAACTGGACCACTGTACTACATCATACACAAAAATTAACTCAGAAAGGATTAAAGACTTGAATGAAGATCTGAAACCACAAAACTCCTAGAAGAAAACATAGGCAGTAAGCTCTTTGACATTAGTCTTGGCAATGATTTTTTGGATCTGACACCAAAAGTAAAGGCAGCAAAAACAAAAATAAACAAGTGGGACTACAAACTAAAAAGCTTCTGCATAGCGAAGGAAAACATCAACAAAATGAAAAAGCAACCTATTGAATGGGAGAAAATATTTGCAAATCATGTATCTGATAAGGGGTTAATATTCAAAACATATGAAGAACTCATGCAACTCAACATCAACAAAATAAACAATCTGATTAAAAAATGGGCAGATCTGAATAGACATTTTTCCAAAGAAGATATACAGATGACCAACAGGTACACGAAAAGATGCTCAACATTATTAATCATAAGGGAAATACAAATCAAAACCAAAATGAGATATCATCTCACACCTGCTAGAATGGCTATTATCAAAAAGACAAGCATTAACAAACTTTGGCAAGGATGTGGAGAAAAGGGAGCCCCTGTGCATGTTGGTGAGAATGTAAATTGGTGCAGCTACTACAAAAATCAGTAAGGATGTTCCTCAAAAAATTAAAAATAGAACTATCATATGATCCAGTAATTCCACTTCCGTGTATTTATCTGAAGAAAACAACAATAACTCAAAAAGATATATACACCCCCATGTTCACTGCAGCATTAAGTACAATAGGCAAGATATGGAAACAACCTAAGTGTCTACTGATGGATGATGGATAAAGAAAATGTGGCATATGTATATATGTCACGTTTTCTACACACACACACACACACACACACACACACACACAATTATTCAGCCATAAAAAAGAAGGAAATCTTGCCATTTGCGAAAACATGGATGGACCCTGAGGGCACTGTGCTAAGTGAAGTTAAGTCAGACAGAGAAACATAAATACCGTATGATCTCACCTGTATGTGGAATCTAAAGAAAAACAAACAAAACAAAAAACCAAACTCATAGATACAAAGAAGAGACTGGTGGCTGCCAGAGGGAGGGGGTGGAGGATAGTATGGGTAATGGGTATGGGTAATGGGTAATGGGTAAAAGGGATCAAAAAGTACAAAATAAATAAAGCCATGGAATGTAACGTACAGCATGGTGACTACAGTTAATAACACTGTATTCCAGATTTGAAAGTGGCTAAGAGAGTAGATCTTAAAAATTCTCATTGTAAGAAAAAAAAAATGTTTGTAACTATGTGTGGTGACATATGTTAACTAGACTTATTGTGGTGATCATCTAGCAATACATACAAATATCAAATCATTATACTGTATACTTGAAACTAATATAATACTATATGTCAATTATACTTCAATTAAAATAAAAAATGCAAAGATAGGACAAGAAGATAAGCTGTTCCAGGCAATGATAAGCAAGGACAGTGATCCTAATTTTGAAAGAGCAAGACTAAAAAGGTTTCTGTACAAGAAATGAGGGGAGGGACTTCCCTGGTGGCGCAGTGCTTACGAATCCGCCTGCCAGTGCAGGGGACTCGGGATCAAGCCCTGGTCCTGGAAGATCCCATATACCGCGGAGCAACTAGGCCCGTGCACCACAACTACTGAAGCCCACACGCCTAGAGCCCGTGCTCCGCAACAAGAGAAGCCACCGCAATGAGAAGCCCGCGCACCGCAACGAAGAGTAGCTCCTGCTCGCTGCAACTAGAGAAAGCCCGCGCAGCAACGAAGACCCAACACAGTCAAAGATAAATAAATAAATGCATTTTAAAAAACAAAAGAAGTGAGGGGAATATAACCATGCGACTTTCTCAATTTAATTCAGGAAACAAATGTTTACGCAACGCAACACTGCTGTTACAAGACACCAGCCTAGTGCTTACTGCAAAGGAATTTAATCTACAAGGGTTAATGAAGACAATCACACAAAAAACAAAAGAGGAGGGGCTGATAAGCGCCATAAAGAAAAATAAGCCTCACACTATGATTCAAACCATCTAACAGAGAAGAGGGAAGTGAGCAGGCAATTTTCATCTGAAGATGCAGCATGTGAAGTGAGATGCACTCTGAAGAATTCTAACAGAAGATGGGGGAAAGCTTTCTAATCAGAGACACCAGATGTAAGCAAGAAAGAACAGGACTTATTCTAGGCACAGATGGCCTGAAGTCGAGAATTTGAGCAAGGAAGTAGGAGGACGTAAGGCTAGTAACAAAGGCTAGGGCCCAACTGCAAAGGATCTTCACCCTAAACTGGCCATTTCTTGTAACTTACTTTGTCACTGTGAGCCACTCAACACCTTGAGGTAGAGGATCTGACTGAACTAGACTTTAAAAGCTTTTATCTGGCAGTAATAAGAGTATACCTCTCAAATGACAAAGCCTTGAAACTCACTTTCTGTAAACAAGAATACTTAGAAATAATCAATAACCAACTTCTCTGCTTGGAGCCAGGCAAACCAAGCATCCCTCGTCTCTCCAGCACTGCGTCTCTCTTAGCAGACAATGAAGCGGCTAGGGTCTATACCTTCTCTGCTCCCCTTACAACAGGTCTGGTGGTGAAAGTAGCTGGGCCAAGAGCACGATCCCATCCACCTGCATTTTCATCCAGCAGGAACATTAGAAGTTGTGGGAAACAACCTAAGTATTTGCTGTGAATCTGAGAGTCGTGAGAATATAAGAGCCTGAAGGGAGAGGAGCCACTGAGAGCAGAGCCTCAAGCGGACAGCGGCTCACAGTCTGGGACCCTGCTGACTGTGTGTCCTCTGCCATTCCAGCTAACCCACACCATGACCTAGAAGCAGGGCCAGGCAGCATGCACTGTGCACACCTGTGCAGTCCCGCCAGTGGTCCATCATGCTCAATAAACCTGAACACCACTTATACCACTTCATTCACGTGGGAACATCCAGACAGTGACTTCAGTGGGGGAGCAGGGCAAACTTCTTTACGAGGGAAATGACTTCCAAGGCATACTGGCCATGCAATGTAAGGCAGAGAAGTGGGCTCTGGGCACTACTAATACTCATCCCTCAGGGGATATTCACCAATGCCGTACTCTTCTCATAGGTAGAATGCTGTGGAGAACATTTAAAATGCCTGAAATACTCACAAGCCACTGTTCTCGGCCAGGGGCCTGTCTTGGCTCCACACCCACCCTGTGCCCATGCCTGCCCGCTATTCACCTCCTGGGCCGGGGTCTCCACTGCAGAGGAGCAGCACAGGGGGAATTCTGGGACTATCTTTTCTTTTATCTCTTTCTCCACTAGAAAATAAGCTCCATCAGAGTAGACAGCATTTCTGTCTTACTCATCCCAGCGCCTGGCACATTATAGGCACAAAACAGTTGCATGTATAAATTAATGTCAAATTTCCTACCATGCATTTCATTAACACATCTGGTCCTGAGTTTTGTTTTATTTCCACACTAAACCAGTCTTCTTTTGCTTTCAAACAAACTCAGCAACCTTCAAGTAACAAACAGGTAGGAAACAATAAGCCTGGAAATTGGTGGAATATGGCTGGGGAAAGCTGTTGGCCAGGTAAATTATAGCAACAAAACAGGCCAGCTTCCTGCAAAGGAGAAGAAAACTACTTAAAAAAAAAAAGTCAAGAACTGAATTAATCCAAGTTGCCTGAGGCCATTCTGTATTGGAGCAAAAAACTCTAAAAATGATGGTACTACTTATAAATGATTAACAGTTACTGTGGGTTTCCCACGTGCCAAACTTTGTGGCAAGCATTCTATCTCGATTAATGAATTTTCACAAAAATCCTAGATAGGTATTAGTATCAGCCATGTTTTTAGAGATGAGGAAATTGAGACACTAATCCAAGATTACACAGCTAACTAGTAATCAAGATGAGATCAGCCAGGCAGTCTGCCCCCAGAACCTGTACTCCAATCACACCGAACACAGCCCAGTGCAATAAATGCAACCAAAATAAACTGCAATCATGAAGAAAAACAGTTTAACTTTGTGCAATACTGTCTAAGTAAGAAAGCAGGGAAAGTTAATGACATGCTTTATAAAGAGTGATTAAAGTGAAAGTGTTGCTAACGAAGGCTCATCATGATGAGGAGAGACCGAGGCATCCCATCACGGCGCTCCTTGCTCTGGAACACCTCCCCACATGCACCCCCACACTCTCAGCACCACGGGTCTGCTTCCTGCCCCGCTCTCAACACCCCTCCCTGGTAAACCCCTCATCTTCTCCTTTCTCACCTCCCCTCAAACCACAAGCTGCAGGGCTGTAGACGCTAAACATGTTCTCTGGTTTTCAGGAGGGCTAGAGACATTTACGCCGGGTGAAAACACGAAATGATACCATGTCTCCTATTTTTGACAACAAACCTGTTAGCTTCAGTCATGCCCTCCAGGCTGACCAGGCAATGACCTCGCCCAACCCCACTTCCTGAACCCACAGCCGAGGCTGGCTACCCCAGGACAGGGCAGACATCAATCACAGCCTCACCTTCCCTTTCAGTGTCTGCAAAGCATCCAGGTAGGCGGCCAGCATGGGCAGACTCAAGGTCTCCACCAGGGTGGTGTGCAGCCACTGGACCAGCTTGGTGTCCCAGCTCACACTCGCCAGAGCTTGCCGCACTCTCCTCGCACACTTGTCCACGGCAACACGGCGCAGCACTGGCTCATTACAAGCCTGAGAGGTGTAAGTCGGGGGGACAAAGTATGAGGGCCACCTCGTTAGCAACGTGGGGTGAGGGTGGGGGGAGCGGGGTGAGGTCAGCTAGCCCGTGACGCCCGAACTATGGGGAGCCCACGGTGGGCAGGCTTCTAGAGTCTTACCCCTTCGTTGGCCAAGCGGGCAAGCCGATCAGACTGCAGGGCTTTGAGGATCTTGTTGAATAGCTTGTTCTGGGCCATTGTCCAGCCAGTCCTATAAGAGAAATTCTGAGGAATTAAAGTCAAACCCTGGGGATGCTGGCCATGCATGTACACTGTACAAAGAAGATTACATCATGTTTTTTGTTCCCACTATGAAACAGTATAACTCAAAGTAGCTTAGAACGAAGCTAAAGCAAAACACCCAGATTCTGGTACCAATTCTGCCAGTTAATCACCTTAACATATACCTGTGTTAACATACACACTACAAGTCAAAACCAGTCACAAACAGAGTCTTTTTGGTGCTAGCAAAGGTAATTAATTACCTAGTGGCTAATATAATCCATTAGTAAACAGAAGCATGGCACCATTGCACAGACATATTTGAATTTCACAAGTTTAATATTTCACACAAAAAGGCAGACAGGATGAGAAAGCATTTTAATGTACTAAAACCTCAGACTAAGATAAGAGGCCTATTTAAATCAGCTTTAGGAACGAAAATATAACAAATGAAGTGGCTATTCTCCCACTCCTTAATAATCCACCCCTCACTAACCTTTCTCCCTTTTCCGTTTTTTTCCCTGTATATCACACAATTAACAAATTTACTTTTGAATGGTCTGTTCCATATAAGTTAACTCTGTATCATCCCTGCGTATGACCCTGGCAGACACACTTTTACCTTGCTTTATGGTTCCTCCTCCAGCTCAGCTGTAAACTCCCTGCAATTAGAAACCTGTCCTACTACTCCTGTCCCCACCTAATGACACACAGCACAGCAGTGTGGAGCTGACTAAAGCCCCCCTCCACCCCACTCCTGGCAATCTTAATTACTCTGATACTCCAACTCTGGCCAGTAATCTTCCTAAAGATACTAAGAGAAAGGTAACAGAAGATACCCAATTGTTTACCAACTCTCCCTGCCATAAAAATAAACTGGTGCTTAAATCTCCTTTAAAAAATTTTAGGTGGATGTCAGACCCAAATGAGAACCTGGAATGAGATCAAGGTAGCACTCCAAATCAGTAGGGATAAAGTAAATAGAGCTGTGACAACCACTAGCCAATTGGAAAAAGAAAATCTGGATTCCTACACATCACTCTTTACACCAAAATAAATTTCAAGTGGAATAAAAAGTTAAATAAAAATAAAATGACCAAAGTACTAGGAAAAAACAGTAATTAAAAAAATCTACCTACCTATCTAATCTATATCTTAGAATGAGTAAAACTTTCTATGTATGACCTAAAACCTAGAAGCCATAAAAAAGAAGAAAGATAAATGTAACTACATAAAAATTTCAAATTTCTGTAAAGGAAAAAATTAAGTATCATAAATGAAGTCAAAACACAATGAAAAGATAACTACTGTTTCATTAAAATAGAAAAAGCCTCTAGAAAACTATTAAGGAAAAGACAAAACACTCAAAACAAAAACAATGGGCAAAGAACATGGAAAGGCAGTTCATGAAAAGGCAGTCAACCCCCTTGGGCCTTCCCTGGTGGTCCAGTGGTTAAAAATCTGCCTTCCAATGCAGGGGATGTGGGTTCGATCCCTGGTCGGGGAAATAAGATCCCACATGTCATGGGGCAACTAAGCCCGTGCTCTAGAGCCTGCACGCCACCAACTACAGAACCTGCACACTGCAACTACTGAGCCCACACGCTCTAGAGCCTGTGTGCCACAACTAGAGAGAAGCCCACACACCACAACGAAGAACTTGGTGCGGCAGCTAAGACCCGATGCCAAATAAAAAAATATTAATACATAAATGTAGGGACTTCCCTGGTGGTGCAGTGGTTAAGAATCCGCCTGCCAATGCAGGGGACACGGGTTCGAGCCCTGGTCCGGGAAGATCCCACATGCTGCGGAGCAACCAGGCCCGTGCACCACAACTACTGAAGCCCGCACACCTAGAGCCCGTGCTCCACAACAAAGAAAAGCCACCGCAATGAGAAGCCCAGGCACCGCAACGAAGAGTAGTCCCCGCTCGCCGCAACTAGAGAAAGCCCACGCGTAGCAGCGAAAACCCAATGCAGCCAAAAATAAAATAAACTAATTAAAAAAAAATGTAGTCATAAGAAGTTCAGTAGTACTCTGTTGTGTGGGTGTAAGAAAATAGATCCCTGCAAACTTTGCTGATGGAAATATAAATTAGTACCACCTTTTGGAAAACCAATTTTGGAAAAAAATCAATCAAAAACCTAAATCAGATCATGTCACTCGGCTCAAACCCTTCAATGGCCCCATTTCAATCAGCTGAAAGCCCAAGTCCTTGCAATGGGCTGTCTGGACACCCCCTGCCTCTCCAACCTCATCCTCTATGACTGTCCCCAGCTTACTGTGCTTCCCCACATTGCCCCCTCCCTTTATTTCCCCCATGCACATCCTGCATGCTCTCACAGCACAGACTGGGCCCTAACCATCCATTCCCCTTACCTGAAACAATGGCTCCCTCTCCAATCTCCAGGTCCTTGTTCAAATGTCACCTACTGAGGCTTTCCCTGACTCACCTGTACTTAAAATTGCCGACACCTCACTCCCACCCTGGGATTCCCTATCCCCGCTTCCAGCCATACCACCACCTCACGTTGTATCCACTTTATTTATTTGCTTGGTTTGTCTTCCTCTGCTAGAATGTAAAGGCCAAGATGGCAGAGATGTTTGTCCATTTTAAGTGCTACATCCCCAGCACATAAAGCAGTGCCCCTACTGACACAGAGTAGGGGCTTGAGCATCTGCTGAATAAAGAAACGGATGAACTGTATGCATACTACGTTCTAAATCCTGTAAACAGTGGAGTACAAATTCAAACGCTCTCACTCCCTACCACAGAAGCGCCTGGGTCCTGAGCAGCAGAGGAACACGGATACACCATGTGCGCCAACTGTAAATTGAGCCCTTCACTATACAGGGTGCCTGAACCGCAAGGAAGTTGCTTCAAACAACTTCAGCAATCTCCATTTCTCTTACTTTATAACAGACTAGCATTTTTCCCATCATAACCCACCAACCAGACACCCTCTTTTCTACAGGTCATCTCTCTAACACTAACAACATGGCCCAGTAAACATGCAGATGGAAGGCAAATTACCCTTTGTTATGCACATTGCACAGTTATCCCACTATCCTTTCCTTCTGTAAAATAAAATCTCCACCTACCACGTCTCCAGTTTGACAACCTACCACAGTTACACAGTCCAGGAGAACACTAGCTATGAGCCAGGAGCTGGCTGTGTGCCCTCAGTCTCCTAGACTGTAAGAGAGATGAACTAGATGATCTTTACGGTTCCTTCTAACAGTAAAAAGCTCAGGTAGCTGTGACTACTGATGGGAGCAAGGTGAAATCCAGGATCACAGAATTCTTCAGGGGTACCCTCTACCTGTAGTAGCTTTGTTGCCAAAGCTCAATCCGCCTTAACCTCCAAAGCCTCTCATCCTTCTATAACCCCTTGTGGCATACTAGGAGCAGTCTCAGGTTTCTTGGAATCATCCTTTTTATCTTCCCATAGCTCTCTTGGCTTAATTTCTCCTACTTCATTCAGATCTAGTCAGTTTTTGTTGTGGCTTGATATTCAGAGAGATTCTGGATTTGGGAGGTAGGGGAGTAGAAGCTTTTACTCAAAGTTGGGACTCAGGATACTCTGGGACCAAGAAGGTTTGTGGGAACCAGCATCTTCCAGCCCACTGGTTCATAATCTCATTTTCCTTCACATTATTTAAATGTACGACACACTAACATGAGTAGCATCTCTCATAGGTATAGTGATTCCTGGATGGGCTTGGGGATTTGGTGGTGGTGGGAGGAGACAGAGGATGTCCACAAGTGGTTATAAAAAGCTCTCTGGAGATACATGGATATTTCCATTTTAATAAACTTCTTTGCTTTTAATGGCTGGCTCTACCCTACTGGTGGGCATTTAGGTTGTGTCCCTTTTATTGCTATTATAAACAGTCACAGTGACCATCTTTCCTCTCCCCAATACACTCAAACACAGATCTATTCTATCCATATCTTTACATGGTTGTGCAAGTATCTCTGAAGGATAAATCTCTTGAAGTGGAAATGAAAGATCTGTGTTAAAATTTTAGAATTTCAGTTCTGTGAAAATAATACGTATAAAGAACCTGCGACATCTTGAAAGCAGTATTACACTGCAGCCTTACCCCCAGCAGCAATGCTCAGTGATAATCAAACAGGTTAAACAATGAATACGATTTCTTCAACAATCTCTTGACCTTTCTCAAAGCCCACTGATCATGTTGCAAACCTTAATCCCAAGGACAGAGAATGAGGTATAATTTTTATTTATGAGGTACCAACAGTGTTTCCAAAATTATCCTGTTCTATATTATACAACAGGATGTTTTCTCTATTTGTTTTTCTTACTCTATATTTATTCTGAAACCCGAAATGACAGGAGCAAGGAAAATGATGTGAACAAAATGGGAGGGGGACTACAAGCTATTTAGAAATTACTACCATACACCAATGTCAGCTGAAATTAAATTGAAAAACCACAATGTTGAGAGTCTAAAATCCCCAGAAAAAGTTCTTAGGAATGCTGCTGGATATATAACAAAGTGATTCCAAGAACTGAAACATGTTCTCTTTATTTTGCCAGTTTCGTGGGAGGCTGGAAAATTAAGCGGGCAGAAAAAAATGATCTAACCCAAGATTAAGAGCATGCAAAAGATATAATTAAGGAAAAATTTAAAAACAGGAGACAGAATTTTAAATACAAGTCTAAACAGTCAAATAGCTGATGGGAACTGTGGTGAGTCAACACGCTCCCCCCACCTAAACCTATT